ATGACACCCAGTGTCAGACAGGTGATTGGGCTGGCAGATGTGGCTCCATTATCTCGGCAAGGACGAATATGGTAGCTCTTCTGAGAGTCACATGTTCTTAGCCACAGCCAATGAGCCCATGGTGCATTTGCCAGCCCCTTTCTAGTCACCTCATCATGGCCAGTGACCAAGTGCTCTTGTAGGAGCACTTGGTGCTTTTTACTCACCTGATCGTGGCTGGTGACTAAAATCGTAGGAGATAAATGAATACTTTTGTCATCTTTAGGCATCATCTGCCTACATCTTATTCAAACAAAGCAAAATACAAAGAAAGGCAGACTTTCTAATTTGCTTCTCCTCCAGGTAAAAGGTTTTCTTAGGCTCCGCCGAGGAAGTAATGCCAATCAGCCACAAAGTTAGGCAGTATAGAGCTTTATCAGGGTTTGCGCACCTAGGCGAGGTTCTCCAGTCTGCAGAGTGGGGCCGGGGAAGTCGCACCCAAGCAGGGAATGTGGTGGGGTTTTATTTTGGTTGGTTCTCTCCGTGGGAGCTGGGGATTGGTCCCCTTTGAACAAAGCGGCAACATATCATTGCTGGTTCTCCTTGGGCTCAAATTGCTATGCGGATAAAGCCCGCCCTTTCAGCTCTCCGGTTTGATGTCAGCAGCCATTTCGTCCTACCCCACCCATCCTGACACTAGGTAATATCCAGAGAGAGAGAGGATTTCCAGTAAGGTAGAGTGCCAGAGTTTTCTGGCCCTCTGCTCTTATGCCCCCTACCCAAGTTCTGTTTCATAAATCCTAAAAAGGTCAAAGAAAGACAGATTCAGGACTCTGGGACCGAAGGACTGACTGAGTCCTGTGGGACAGAGATTATTAATTGCCCTATTGTATGCAGTGTTCTTTTAGGCTAGTCCCAACGCTAATGCCACAGTCACCTCCCCTACAACACACACACTTCTCCCTCCCCACTGAGCCCAGATTTCCAGGAAGCCTCCAAGACATTTCTTGAACATTATCCTGGAGGGAAGGGAAAAAATGTTATGGGAATGAGAATCTATTAAGTGATAAAGTGAGTTCTTTTACATGATTAATGTAAAACAAAAAGTAAGTAAAGATGGTGATTGCATAGGTCTAAGGAATTTATACCATGTTTATTTTTGAAATAATGAGAGAAATTTGACAATAAAATGCTGAGAAGAAGACATAGTGAGATGGGTAAATTCTTTAAAGTTTAACAAAAGGAGCTATAATAATAATATGTGGGACAACATTTGTATGTAATATTGTTAGTACTTAAGCCTTCTCCTCTATGTTCAGAAGAGAATATAAAGTTCTTCAGACATTTGCATAAGTACTGTTTTTTTCCATTTCCATGTCTAGTTTAGCCATCTTTATTCTTGTTTAATGTCATTGAAGGGAAGGTTGGAGATGCTGAAAGTAAATGAAATGCGCTATTTTAGATGGTCCATTGTGTTTACATTTTTACTTAAAAATACTGAGACAAATTATAAAGGAATTCAAAATACAGTCCTCTTTTAGGACAGTTTTTTTGTAATATGTTTACAGTGTCGATTTATTTTACTTTGGTTTTAACTCAAGGAAGCATCCTCAAGAGCAGCTGTAATTGATATATAATGCTTTCACTTTTGCAGTTCCCCATGAAATGAAGTCGGCTGATTATTTTCAGTGAAATCCACCAAAATTTTCACATACACTTAATTCTGCTGAACATATGTAGCCCTGAGAAGAGAATAGAGTTTTAATGGAAAGCTGCATTACTAAGGTGTTTGCACTTCTGCCAAGATTTTCAGGTTAGGATACTGAGTATATCTGCAAGGAGAGAAAACTTCACATAGATATATTGCCTACACTTTACAGACACCTGGGTATTTGAAAAAATTAAACTGTTACCCATTCATTACTCACTAGTTCTATTTACCAAATATTTCTGGCTCTTCTACAGGCACAAGTTTGGTTGCATTTTCCCATCACATTTACGCTAGTGTAGCCATGTGTCTTGCTTTAGTGAATAAAACTTCAGATGCTATGCATGTCACATCTGGAAAAAAGCTTTAAGAGCTAGTGTATAATTTGTTAGAACTTCTTTTCCTCTGCTCTGACAACCAGCTCCAGGTGAGGAGGTTCTATTAGCCTTGTTCCTAGAGTGAAGAGACATGGCCCAGGGGCTCTCACCTCTGCCCCAGTCTTTTGACCCACATGAATGTGTAGCACAGATGGATCAGAAATGAACTCTTGTTATTTTTAGGGCATTAAGATTTGGAGGTTATATTGTTCCTGCAGCATAATGTAGCCTAGAACAGTGGAAACAACATTTTTTAGATTTTTTTTGTATTTGGGTGTTCATAAATAATTGTGAGAATATTACTTATTACTTAGAGCCATTCTTTTTTTTTATATTTATTTTTTGTTGTTCCATTACAATTGCCCCCATTTTCCCCCAGTGTTTTCCCCTGCCCTGCCTACCCCCCCATGAAACCTCCCCCACATTGTCCTTGTCCATGGGTCCTTTAAATACATGTTCCTTGACTTGATCTTTCCCTTTCCCTCATTATCCCCGTATCCCCTCCCCTCTGGTTACTGTCAGTTGGTTCTTTATTTCCATGTCTGCGGTTCTATTTTGCTAGCTTGTTTGTTTTACTGATTAGGTTCCACTTATAGGTCTGATCATATGGTATTTGTCTTTTACCACCTGGGTTATTTCACTCAGCATAATGCTCTCCAGTTCCATCCATGCTGTTGCAAAGGGTAGGAGCTCCTTCTTTCTTTCTGCTGCATAGAGTTCCATTATGTAAATGTACCAAATTTTTTTATCCACCCATTTACTTATGGGCCTTTAGACTATTTCCAGCACTTGGCTATTGTACATTGTGCTGCAATATGATACAACTTTGGGGTGCATAGGTTCTTTTGAATTGGTGTTTTAGGATTCTTCAGGTATAATCCCAGCAGTGCAATTGCCAGGTCAAAAGGCAGTTCCATTTTTAGTTTTTTGAGGAAATTCCATACTTAAACAATGAGCAAAAAACCCGAACAGACACTTCTCCAAGGAAGGCATACAAAGGGCCCATAGAGATATGAAAGAAAGAGCCATTCATTTTTTGATGTCTATTTCTTGACACTTGATTCTGTTTTTCCAATTGTTATCCTGACTTCAAATATTTTCAAAGTAAATGTTTTAAAATATTATGTGATCATATGGATTTCAATGTGAATTTTATATTGTGCACATACTTATCTTGCACTTCATTAGATTTATGTGTTATATCAACTGGTACCATATTGGTCCATCTTCTATACACTATTACATTACTCCTACAGAGAAAGTGTAGCACATAACTAAGCTTTATTCTTTTGGTACAACTTCTAGAAATACATACTTAGTGGAACTCAATAAACTTTTGCTGAAAATATAATGGAGATAATGCTGCTGAGGAAAATGACGACAATAAGAATTTCAAAGAGGTCATGCTCCAGGAATGTGAATGTTCAGAGTGACTCTGAAGCCATCCAATTTATACAAATAAGTGACTGCCTATGTGTCCTAATATCTGAAAATCAAAATTCAGTTTCAAAGGACATAGCTAACAGTGTTCTAGATTTTAAATCATGTAGAAATACAAAGGGATGAGATAAATGTGAGAATTAGCAAAGGATTTTGTGTTTCTATGGGGGGTGGTAAATGGTCACACATTAGACATTTATTTTTTGCTGGGTGTCATTCTCAGTGGAAATTCTATGGGGGAAGTATATTTTAGTCTTTGCAAACTCACTTTGCATTGCCTATTATTCCTACCATACAATTTTATTTCCTTTTTTTTTTCCATCGGAAAACAGGTCTTGAAGTGAAAGTTTTGAACTTCATGATATGTCTGTCTGAGTCTATTGTAATCATTTTTGATGTATATTTTCTGATAGGATTCTGATAAGTGAGTGATAATTTTAGCATTCCTAGTCCCATGAGCTTCTTAAGTATTCTCATTATATTGTCTCAATTAGTGCTCACAGAATGTAATGCAGTACAACTTATGCAGTTTACTTATTCATTTGGTAGATGTTTATTAAATATCTATATTTTAGCCTTATAGTTGACCCTATAAATACAGAGATGGAAAACACATGGTCTTGTTTTTAAAGAGCTCACATCATAATTGGAAGTATATATTGATTATACATTAATACATATTGATTATGGCCTGTGATGAAAGCTATAGCAAAGAGGCATGGAAAGTGCTGAAACAGAATAGAAGAAAGGATTAGGATTTGACCTACTATGAACTAATAGATGGCCAAGGAGGGCTTCAAAGAAATAGTGATATTGAAATTGAGCATTTTATATAATATTTCATCACTTTGTTCTAATTAAAATATTAGCATGAGGATTTTACCATTATATTTACTTTGGATAACAAGTGAACTTTCCTCTCAAAATTAGATGTATTTAATTTGTATGCTATATTCTATACTTGAAAATTTGGGGGTTTTAACCTGGGGTAACTATTTAAAATATTGAATAAAAGTAATGGCAATTCAGAATGGATGCTGACAATAGAATTAGAACATGGTTCTGCCATTAACTTTTTAATAGCAGGGTTATAAATGGATTCTTGCACATCAATTTCTCATCTCTTAAGTATAACTAATACTGAAGATTTGAGGAAGATGAGAGGGTGGCTTTGAAAAAGTCGTCTTAGAAATTGCCCAGGTAAAATACTGACAATTCTATTTTCTCAGATGATAATTATTTTATATCCGTTGTTGTTCTCTATTTCAATGATCATCCATGGTGATAATACTGATGAACAACCCCAGAGTGAGATGTCAGTATTTGGCTGTGGCTGTTTGCAAACTCTGCTGTGATTACACTCAGTTGTCTAATTGCTTAATTTATCGATGTTTTGCTGACATGTTTTTCAGCAACGTTTGTGATTGCAGAGAACTAATCATTTCTATTCTGGCTCATTATCATACGTTTGCATTTAATTTGTCTGATTGCTGCAGGTGGAAACAATAGGTGATGCATACTGTGTTGCTGCAGGACTCCACAGGAAAAGCCTCTGCCACGCTAAGCCCATCGCTCTGATGGCTCTGAAGATGATGGAACTTTCAGAAGAGGTGCTGACACCTGATGGAAGACCAATTCAGGTCACTCTCAACATATAATTTTAGTAGTAATGCATGTTTTACTGAAGGAAGCGAGAAATTCCCTTGTGGATTCTACACACTGTAACTTACAGATCTAGATAAGTTGGGTTGGCAGGGAGGATGGGGAATAGCTAGAGGTGACTCATAGATCCAGGAAAAGAAAATTATGTAAAATAGGAAAAGGTGTGTGGATGGCAAATTACCATGGAGGAGAAAAAAGGAGCTAAAGGGTTAGACCAAGGAGAAGAACTTGCTTTTAGTAACCAAGTCACCAAATCCAAGTAAGAATGATGGTAAGAATCAGAGTCTGAGAAATAATCCAAAAAAATAAGAAACTGAGAAGCGAGGAAATGGAAGACCTGGACAAGCGCCTGTGGGTAGTGTTCAGGTCTTACTCATGAAGCCTCAGGCCTCAGGGTTGCTTCTACAATTTTTCTGTGATAGAGTTTGAAGGTTGGAGCGCAATGTCTGAGGAAACTTTTAAAGTGGAAAATGTAACCTCTAGTGTGTTGTACTCTTTTTGGTACTGATGGCTGTCTGCAGCCTGAGATCTACCTCTGGGGACGTATCAGGTCACATAGCTATAGGTTTGCTGTAACCTGATAGGTCCCAGGTGTGTTGTTGCTAGGAATTCTTATAAACCAAAAATCTTGTATTTGGAGAAGTAACCTGGAATTTAAGGCAGACCTTTTACACTAGCTCACTAACTATGTGTTAAAAATGACAAAAAATAAAGCCTTAAAATGTGAGTATATTTCTAGTTCTGGCATTATGGAAAATTAGATACCCTGAGTGTCCCTTATGATTGACTTATTAAAATGTAGGGTTAAGTATAAAATTTTTTAAAGACTGTCAAGCACAAAACAAGTTATAGAGAAAAAAGAAATGTGACCATTGCATTTTGGGTACAGACTGAAGATCATTTAAGTGGTGAATTTACATTAAGTGCTCTGTCATTAACAGGGGTAGTAGTAAACTAGGAAACACTGTTTCCTCCCTGGAGGGAGACAACTTCAATCTCATCTTCAACCAATTTCCACAGATTGCGTGTGCTGGAAAATCAGTGGCTTATATTCAAAGGAAAGTAAAATAAAACAAGCAAACAAAGAAACACACACACACACACACACACACACACACACACACACACACACGAAAGCAAGTACTATAGCTAAGAGCCCATAGAAAGAGTAGATGAGAAAAACAGATCTGGAGTGTTATCCGATATCAGCATTTTCAGGCAGAATCAAAATGACAATGCTTAATATAATTAAAGAGATACAAGAGAAATTTTAAAATGTGAGGCAGAAACAGTAGATTTGAAAAAGAACCAGAGAACTTATAAGCAATCAGCATAATACTTAAAAAAAAAAAGGAGCTCGGTGGATGAATTTAAGAGCAGATTAGACACAGCTGAAGCAAAAATTAGGACATTGAAAGAACTGAAGAAATTACTCACAATTAAGTTCATGAAATTAAAAGTGGGAAAATATGAGTCAGAGAATATAAAATGTAAAACCTGGAGGAATCATGGAGGAGAAAGTGAGAAGATGTAATGTATTTTCAATTGGGGTTCCAAATGGAGTCAATAGAGGAAATGCAAAAAGCAAATATTTTGGAACTATTAAAAGACATTAATCAAATATCAGTAATAGTAATCCAAATAATGGGTTAAATGTGAAAGATCATACTATAAAATGACATATTTATAATTAAGATTTTTGACTTAGAATGGAGAACTATTTTTGCAAGTAGTTATGTTAAAAATTTTCAAATCACGAAGGAAAATATTATAAATTTTACTACATTAAAATTAAAACCCTCCTGTTTATCAGGGAACACCTTCAGAAAGTGAAAAGACAATCAATCACAAAGTAGGAGAATCTTTTCGTAACATCTTTAACCAATAAAAGTATCTTTGGTTAATCTTATCAGCAATCAGATTAATATATATTGATAATCCTATGCTCTCTCACCTACTAGTTTGGCACAATTTTGAAAGTCTTACAATATTAGTGTTGGTGAGGATATGGAGCAATAGGGAATTTCATACACAGCTGGTGGGATTACAAATGGTATAATGTCCTTGGCATTAACTAGTACATTTTACTTTGTGCCTTTCTTACAACCCAGCAAGCCCTCTCCTAGTTGTACGCTTCAGGGAAATACTTATGCGTGTGGGGCAGAAGTGACACACAAGATTATTCACAGCAATACTTTTTATAATATTCTCAAATTGGAAATAACTGAAATATCCACTTAATAGAATGGATAAATTATGATATGTTTATGCCTTGGAATCCCATACAGTTGGGCAAATGAATGACTTTAGCTATTGACTTCAACATGGATGAATGCCAAAAACATAATATTGATTTTTTAAAAAAGCAAGTCATAGAGGAATACTGTAGTATTATTGCATTTAATTAAATTAAAAAACTTGGAAAATTGAGTATACATTCTATTTAGAAATACCTGCATTGATGGAATAAGTTAGGAAAGAAAAAGAGTAAGTAATACAAAATTAAAGATGATGCTTAACTCCAAATGAAAGAAAGATAATGGCAACAGAGGAATGCAATAGGGAAAGTGGACATAGGGGTTATAGTGAAAAATTATTTATTTTATTACTATTCTCTATTGTGCACATACATATTTACACTTGAAAAAAATTTAAAGACAAAGACTCCCACCACTGGTGAAAATAAAAAGTCATGGACCATTAAAAAAAGTCTAGTTTAAGTCCCTCAGGACATAATTATCTAGTAGTCAAGTGTATGAATAGCACTTCAAATACTGTCAGGAAAAACAAGCAAAAGGAAGGTGTCTAAGATCTGCTGCAAAGTGAAAATTTACACATTCCACATTGAATTTATACTAGTTCTTAAATTTTCAAGATGCCCAGCTGGGCAGTGTTATCATTTGGAATGGTCTTTTTATGTTAAATGTTATTTTATAAGACATACAGTGTTTGTATTGATTCATCATTGTCAAAGCAAACTTAAATCACCAAATAACGAAACCAGGGAAATGTGTTTTATAGTATGCTGTAAATTTATCATCTGTGCTTCCATTTGTGGGATATAAAATTACCTCTGTCTTATGAATCAGATTGCCTTATTAAATCAAAAGGGGAAATATCCATAATGATTTAAGAAGAATGCGGAAAGAAAATTCTAAATAATAATACCACCTTAATAATTTTAGTTTCTTATTAATTTCTATTATCTGTATGGTTTGGGATTTGGGGGGAATATTAATTTGATTTTCACTTGGCTTCTAACTTGGTGCTATGGGAACACTTCTAACCTTATTGAAATAATCTTTCATTGAAAATGCTTGGGTGTTATATTAGAATTTATATGTGAACTGTTTATTATTTTCTTAAAACTGTCCAAATTCTTAGGCTATATAAAATTTAAGCTATTTGAGTTATAATAATTGCTCAAAATTCCCCAAACCTCTCAAATTTTGAAAAATAGATTGATAATTTTTGTATGACATAAAATTTTGAGGCACCTGCCATGGTGGGAAATAGGAAACTGGATTATCATTTATAGTTGCTCACAAATGATCAGTAATGTCCTTGAATCCTTAAGTGTAGAATTGACTAGGTTAACTTTTTAATTAAAAAGAAAATAGAGACTATAGCATTTCACTTCTTCAGTTTATAATACCAAGCAAATTACTTTTCTATAAGTACTGTAATGAAACTCAGAGGATAGTTCTAGACTGTATTTACAAAGTATAATACACAGATATGGTCCACTTATATGATAAATTTTGAAAATTCAGTCCAAAGTGACTTTAGTTAAAATTGCATTTAAAAACAGTGATTAAGAACTTATATTTTATCAATATGATGTTTATTCTGTTGGCCGAATATATGGAAATGTTAGCATTAGCCTGTTCCATGTTTCCCCTCTTAAGAAGAAATCTGATTTTCTTAAATCTTAAACAATAGCAACTGAAGAAAAATAAAATCAGATGTTCTGTCTTCTGTTTTAACTAGCTATATGGTGATTTCCCTGGAAAATTATATAATTTCATGCTGTTCATTAACTTATGAACCTAATCTCTCCAAAGTATTTTAAATAGAGTGTTTAGTGCTGAAAGACTTTTACTAAAGTTTACCACTCTTTGATTAAAATAACAAAACATTTGTTACTGTTTGTGCTTTTTGTGTTTAAAAAAAAATAGTGAAGGGCCCTGGCTAAATAGTGCCATTAGTTAGAGTGTCATCCCGACTTGCCGAGGTTGTGGGTTTGATCCCTGGGCAGGGCACATACAAAAATCAACCGATGAATACAGAAATACCGTATTTTGCCATGTATAATGTGCTCCTAGGCATAATATGCACCCCCATTTTTGTGAGCATTATTCATGGGGTTTTTATATCCATGGTATATAATCATTATACTCATGTATAATGCGCATCCTTATTTTTCCCTCAAAAATTTGGGCAAAAACGTGTGCATTATACATGGAAAAATATGGTAGGTGGAACAACAAATGTCACCCTCTCCTCCCCTTTTTCCCTCCCTCCCTCTCCCCTTCTCTCTCTCTCTCTCCCCTTTCCTCTTTCTCTCTAAAAATCAATAAGTAAAAATAAAAAAAATAAGTAGTAAGGGAAGGAATCTGGGTTGAGGAGTGACTAGAGTATGTGATTAAACACATAGTAGAAAGACAAGTAACATTTTCATGATTTAAGCTTCTGAAGAAGCCTGAATCAGTGTGTCCAGATATCTAAGTTTTAGTTTCTGGGTTTTAGTTTTTAAAAAATATGTTCATTGAGTTTCATTACATAAGCATACAAAAGCAAATTCTCTTCATTCGTTCAGAGAACAGTAGATTTTATATAATGAGGCCATTACAGAGATTGCGAAATAGAGTTTAAAAAAACATTGTGTGATCATGTTGTAATACTAACATGTTTAGCAACCTCGATTGCAAAGCAGGGAAATGCTATGGATTTCTTCTTACTGCCTAGTTCAAAGCAA